GTTGCGTTGAAGTTGTCTCCTATTCCGTTTTCCTATGTTTATTTGAGGATTCTGTCAAAGCTGATGTTTTCAATACGATCTAACTGGTTCAGTCATCAAACAATGAATAGTCTTAACTGGCTGCCACTTTCGAGAAGCCTTACTATTGTTTGGTCGCAGTTCAATCAAATGGTTTACAGCAAACAGCTGTCGAAATAAAATTGGCTCTCTGGATCAGCTGCAAATCGGGAACACTTAATGCGCGTTTAAGCACTTAATTCCTGGTCTCGTTCACATGTGCACGTGATCAATTCAATCGATTTTCTCACTGGCCAACCAGATGTCAGAGACTGAATCAGTATTGACCACGTCGGCACTTCACAGCTGACACCGGTTTCGTTTCTGTTTAAATAGACATGTCCATATTGTGTGTTATCTATCTATCTTGCTGCACTTTTCTGCATTGAAAATTTACTGCCTAGCAGCAATGGATCAGTGAACAAACACAAAAGATTGTACGATTTTGTTTGTCTGGTATCTTGCTTCCAAATTCCGATTCACTGCACACTAATTTCGTAATGGATATTGGTGGTAGACAGCTTTGCTGTCGCCCGGTTCCATACCACGCCTGACCTATCGGGGCCTTATCTGGTTCGCTACTCCAAGTCCCGAGGCTTAGGTTGCCGGTTTCCACCACTGAACAGCAGGTCCTCGTGACTATGGGATTTGCATCGTCTGCTGTTCACCACGCTTAGGTGTGTGATAAAAAATGCGGATGCCCATTCTCAAAAAGAAAATTGGTAATTCCAAACCGTCCGGATGTTTTGACAGAGGGCATTACGAAAACAGAATTGCGGACGATAATTTTGAAATCGACACACCTATCGACAGATACTTGAGAGTCTCTAGGACCCCAAAGCTATCCTATTGCGAAAAAGCAGATGCAGTCAGCAGTTGAGAATTACAGATAATCCTTGTAGATTTTTTTAGTAGCTTTGACCTAGCTTAGTTGCTCACGTGCCCATGTACACAGCCTCCTGATCTCTCTGTGTGCATCTGTGTGTTGACTGCAACACAGCCAGCGATGAGATATTCTAGGGACAGCCGTGTAAGCTATCACTGGACGGAGGTGGTGGTGGTTACAGAACAACATTGTTCTCCCTATGGTTCAGATCTGGAGACAAGGGCCCATTTTGTTATCGGGTATTACTGTTAACCCATATGAGCACATACACACACACACACGTACAAACTGACTAAAGCAGTATCCTTTGAGATCATGTGATGGTGGTTGATCATTCTGGAATACGTTGACTCTCCGTATGACAGCGGTTATCCCAGGGATCGTGGAACCACTTTTGTGAGGGCTGGTTGATTGAAGCATAAAACAGCATTTCGAAGCAGAGTGGACGTTTAAAAAGAGAAACCCGTGTGGTAACATTGAACAATTTCGTTGTTTCTCAACTGGTGTCTACTCGTCACAAATGCATTGTATATATAGGGTTTGGGAATAGATGACGAAGTTAACAAACGTGAATGGGGCAAGGGTCATTAAGGTAAATTCCTGTTGACACAAAATTCTGTTCCATCAGTTGAGTGCAATCGCCCCCGCGATCTCGAGCATTCCAGTATCACAAGTATAAATCACTCAATATGATTCCCCTCGATCAAAGAACTGTTGCGTCATCAACAAGAGCTTGGCAATTGAGGAGTTGGGTGTTTGGTACCCGCCGTCCTTCACATAGCAACCTTCCATGGAACCCAGTTTGGAATGCGTTATAAACTCCGATTGCTTTTCTGTTCTTCCTGTGTATGAATGTCATCGCATCCATATTGGAATTGATAGATAAATTTTCAGGTTCCAGAATATGCCCATTAGGACATGAGAACGCACGTTCAGAACATTTGTTTTCATTGATTCATCGTCTGGCCTGCATAGGTCATATAAAAGAGTGACATATATCAAATTCAAATTCAAATTTTTATAATGGGTAAATCCCAAAGCTGATGCTGATTGAATCCCACATGATCTATACACACTGGGTTCGGTTGGTAGTACAATTAAATGGGAGAAATTGTAACTTTCAGGCACGGGTGCTGAAAAGTTAGGTGTTTCAATGCTTCATCCAGCCGTGGCTTGAATGAATCGATGGTTGGTGCAGAAACAACTGGAGGTGGAAGAGAGTTCCAGGTATTACAAACTCTGAGGCTGAAGGAGGGGAGCCTGCAGTCAAGACGACTCTTTTGAAGCAAAAGTTTAA